ACAAAACACGGACAGACACACACACACACACACAATAATAAACCTTCCAAATCCAAGTCTATACAAATCAAACTGTATAAATGTTTTGTTACTTCCTCTAGCACAGGATTGGGACACATATCATATAAGGGACTATGAATATATTCACATAACATTAATAATAACGGTTACTGTATTGCCGTCCAGGGAGTGTGCCACACAAGTATTTCATATGTATTACTTAATGTAATCTTCAAGAATCTCAAGTAGTACTGTTATCCTCTTTCGTGATAAGAAGACATAGTCTAAGAAAGGTTAGGTCTAGGGGCTGGGAATTTAGCTCAGTGGCAAAGCGCCTGGCTGGCAAGCTCAAGGTCGTGAGTTCAGTTCCTGGTACCAGAGAAAAACCAAAAAACAAACAAAAAAAAAAAAAGAAAGAAAGGTTAGGTCTTATAAACACCCAAACAAACAAACAAAAAAGTATATCCACTATAATCAGTGTAGAGTCATTTAGATTTGGCAACAACCTTATTAACCAGGAGATATGGCTTCAAGGAAATTTCATATGACCAAGTCGTTGTTCAGTATAAGAATTCCAGTGGACTTTTAGTGTTTAAAGATATTCAATTTAAACTATTGATCCTTAGTTATAAAAACCAGTCTAACAATCATTTTTAAACTACACTGAAATTTTCAAAGTTGAATTCTATCTTTCTTTTTCTTCCCCCCTTAGAAGAGTTATACTTTATATGACTTTCTATCTCAGTTGTGAAAGCATGCTGCGGTCTAACTGTATCATAAATGAGATTTTCAAAATATGTTGTGATTTACATGTATATTAATCATGAGATTCACATAATTTAAAGCACATACTCACTAATAATATTTCAAATAGCTTTTCAGGGATTAACCTAAATTTTTTATTTGTAGGAAAGTCTTGACATATAATTTGCATCTTTTAAAACTAGTACAAAAAAAGCCAGGCATGGTGGCACATGCCTGTAATCCCAGCACTTGGGAGGCTGAGGCAAGAGGCATACCTGAGGTGAAGGCCAGCCTGGGCTACATAGTGAGTTCAAGGCTAGCCTGGACCTTGTCTCAAAACAAACAAACAAACAAACAGCTATTATATATAAAAGGAAAAAAGCATTAACTCTTTTTACCAATGGATCAAGATAGGTGGGGAATGACATATGTAACTTATACTCAAAAGAATTTCAAGCTGGGCCTGGTGGTCAGTAGCTGTACCATCAGCTACTAAGGAGGCTGAGGTAGGATGATCACTTCAACCCAGGAGTTCGGATTTAACCAAGGCAACATGGTGAACCCTATCTCTTAAATAAATAAATAAATAAATAAATAAATAAATTTTCAATTGCAATGTTGAATTTTTATCTTACATTTGGAGTATTTAATGTATTATATGAAATATATTTTATTTTACATTGCAATATCATATTGATTAAGAAGGCAGAGTCCTGTGACCCTTTATAAGCCAAGGTCACTGAGGAATAAATCATTTTTGCACTCTTCAAACCTGAGAATATTTTCCTCCGAATGGTTCTCAGCTACTAACCTGCTAGCTCTCAGCTCCCAATTATGTTTTTAAATGCATCATTGTATAAATCCAGGAAACAAACTGAGACTTTAAAGCAGATCATTTTCAGCAGTCTTGGTGTGCCTGATAATATACGCACTTCCTGTGTTTGTACACTTCTTGTATTAGTGTTTTAACCTTTTAAATTATATTAACAACATCAATATGTTCCCTTATATACGCATTATGGCTCCTGTCCTGTTATTTACAACACAGTGCTGATGGCTTCCTTTTAAAAAAAATCTTTAAAGATATAGAGTAGAAAAAATGCAAACGTGGTAAAAATTCAAATTGTGGTCCAGATTTGCAACGTTAAGTGGAAAAGAACGACAAAAAATCCGCGATCTTGAATGAAAGATGAAGCCGTGGTCTTATTACACAATCACAGGCAAGTCTTTTGAGAAATGAGCCTACCAACCACAAAGACTGAAAAATAAGTATTTCCGTAATAAAATGGGCAGAGGCAGGGTTTGCCTTCTTTCCATGCAGGTTATTCTTTGAGGGCAAACGCGTCACGTATTCGTATCTAGTCCACTGACACCCAACCCACCCAGGGCAGCCCCGCACGTCCCCTCCCTCCAGCTTTCCTAACACTACAGCACACCCGCCCAGCTAGGCCAGAGATAAAGCTAAGATGGCAGCGTGCAAAGTACGAAAGCCATGCTCAAGGGACTGGCAACATACAAGTCAAGCCTCTGTATCCTTTCATTCTGCACAGCTCCCGAGAATAACAAGACACCCGTCACTCCCTACACTTGGGCTGGGTAAGCCACTCAGCAGTAGCGCGAGCAGGAGTGGCAGGAGAGGAAGCTGGCTTTGCATATTACAAGGAACCCACAATTCTGCTCTGCAGCGACGGTTCAAACGATCCCTGCCTTGGGGACCACCCTCCCCTGCACGCCCTCTGGACAGTGGGATTAAGGGTCCCTCCAAACGCCCTGTGCTTCCCGGCATTTGCCACACTCCCCGGCTGCCGCACCGGAGCCTTCCAAGGTACCCAGCTGCCAGGGTGGTAGCTGTGGCCGTTGCACACGCCTCGGAGCACACAGTGCAGAGGCAGCAAGAGGAGGAGGCTGCGAAAGAGGAGAAAAAGACGGCTGCATTGGCTATCAATTCAGAGTAAAGAGACCCTGGCCGCTGCCGTGGTAGGAAACGCTGCCAACCGCACCAGAAACGCCACCCTCGGCTACCTAAGTGAGCATGTGTGGGACTCTGCGCACGCCTAGTGGTGCTGCTCAACGACGTCGGGTTTCTTAGGAAAGTATCCAGTTACCGGGTTTTGAGTGTATCCAAGAGGCTCGAGGAGGAGCTTGTCTGGGACTGACTATTAGGATTGAAGGGAAATTAAGAGGTTGCTGATACTAGGGCAGCCACGCGAGTCAGTGGCCACCAGAAATTCTAATTGGGCAGTGACTGTACAAGCCGCCACCTAAGGCTGCATTGGAAATGCTTCTCTGTGTTCTCACAACCGGCATCTATTTCCCTCCTGCTTAGGAACAGTTCTTTGTAAGGAGCTGGGAATGCAACAGGTTAATAGACACAGACGTCATTCCCACACATATATATTCTTTAATATGGTACATCATTCATGTGTGTGTGTGTGTGTGTGTGTGTGTATTACCATTTGTGAAAAGCCTCGTGCCAAGGTGGACAGCTAGAAGCTTTAAATCTTCTTTCAATCTCATATAGTAGGTATTATTTTGATCGTTACTCAAAGAAGAAAACTTCCCCAAAGATATACAAGAATTAAGCAGCAGAGCCAGGATCTAAATCCAAGGTGATTTGATTTCAGGACCTTTTAGGTTCCCTGCTGCCTCTTGCAAGAGGTAATGCACTCTCACAGTGACCGCCCCTCAGGTCTTTTGCTCCTCTATTGAAGAGCTGACCTGCCTCTATGCCAGTATCTTGGCTCTCCCTCACTCAGAGTGGTGATGGGATTGGGGGCTTCCTGTTTAACTCTGAGGTTTGCATTAGGGTAGAAACACAACCTAACAAATACTTATATATTTACACATAGCATATCTACCATGTGTAAATTTCCAAACTGGAAGCTGATAAAACATTAAGGAAAAAAAACCAGAGAAGTTCTGAGGGAACTTAGAAAAGGGTTGAGGAAACAAGATAATTGCAAAACTCATTTTAACAGGTATTAAAACACTGAATTTCCCATGGCTGCTCTTTGTTCTTCTGTTTTCATTATTCTATTTCAGCTATCCTTTTCTTTTTTTTTTCTTTTTGAGACAGGGTCTCACTGTGCAGTTCAGGCTGAACTTGAGCTCACTTTGTAGCCC